TTGGTTCTAAAATCAGCGCCAATGGAAGCAGCAGTGAGGACATCAAAAGACGTATTGCATTGGGCAAATTTGTTGCAAAAGACTTCTTTCAAGTATTGGAGTGCAAAGACATCTCCTTGAACACTAAGCTGCACCTTACGCAAGCCATAGTATTTTCAATCGCTTCATATGTATGGGAGAACTGGACAATGAATAAGGAAGACCAAAGAAGAGTTGATGCTTTTGAGTTGTGGTATTGGCAAAGAATGCCGAAAAGTACCATTGACTGCTAAAAGGACTAACAGATCTGTCCTGGAGGAAGTGCAGCCGGAATGTTGCTTGGAAGCAAGAATGGCCAGACTTTGTCTCACCTACTTTGGTCATGTTGTCAGAAAGGACCATTCTCTGGAGAAGGATGTCATGTTTGGTAAAGGGTCAAAAAAAGAGGGGGAGGCTCTTAAGGAAACAGACACAGTGGCTGTAGCGATGGGCTCAGGTATAGTTGAGATTGTGAGGTTGGCACAGGACCTGGCAGTGTTTCATTCTGCTGCACGCAAAGTCACTGTGAGTCGAAGACAACTCAATGACACATAACAACCATTTTGTGTGGGGTTGATTTAAGAGCCTTTAAAAATTAGTTCATAGTTCATCAGTTTTCTGACCTTAATGTTAAAGAAAAAGTATCTCAGGAATTCTGGATTCGAGATTAGGTAACCAACTATTGTATATCCAATCAAAATTCCAACTGTGTACTTGATACTGGTAGTGTATTTTGATCCTAATTAATTTGCTTTGCTCCATAATCAATGGGAAAGTGGTGTCAGGAGAACTCAGGATCATGGGAGGGAATAACTACATCCGTAATAGCTTCATTTGTTCAAACTGTTTCCTATGACCTAGGTGCCTGGGAAATCAGATTCACAGAATTTTAAGATTCTAGATTAACTAAGCACACCACCACTCTGCAGAAGAATTTATTTCCATGAAAACCTGTAAGTTTTAGCATGGCAGGAGTGACAAGGCCATGATTTTTTTGAGCCCTATTCTTTCTTTGATTACATCAATGTAAAAGGACCAGGTAAGGTGACAATAGAAATAGAAATCATTTTGAAATATTTTCTCTTTTAGAGAAGAATATTACAGTAAGACAAATGTTCAAGAAATATACATATTAAAAACCTCCAAAAAACCCCTGATGTCTAAATCAAAATGGCTTTCATCTTTCAAATGTTATTTGTTTGGAGAACAAGAGAATCAAAGAGCTTAAACCCCAAACCAAGGCTCAAAAATATGTAAGAATACCTTTAAAATACTTTTCTTTTTCTAATGAGGGTCAGAATTAAGGCACTGAAACATGCATTACTCCCAAAGTGTTTAATAAGTTTTGAGAGTTAACAGCCTGTGTTCATTCCCTGAAGAGACTGAGCTTCATGGCAAGATTGATGCTACTTATGATCTCTCCGCCCCTCAAGGTGAAAGAAAAAAACGAGTATCAGCCTGCATGAAAGATGCCACATCTTCTTTATTGATTGTCAGGGGTGATCTTGCAGATCCTTAAATTAACTGACACATCCCATCATTTACCAAACCACTGGAATTTGATTGTGTTTGTAGCAAGTCTAGTTGCCATGGCTCCAGACAAATTCCGCCACAAGCTCACTCTAAGGGTGTTATATGTAAACTTGTAATCTAATTCGATTCTGTGATTTTACCACCAGAATTTCCGTGTACGTATCTAAAACTGCTTAGATACTTCAGATATAAGAGAACAGTAGTGTTGTACATATTTAATGAAGTCACTGATGACATTATTGAAATAAAACTAAACATTTAAGTTAAAAAAAAAAATTCCAAGCACTGTATGGGATTATTACTAATGTCTCATGATGCATGTGATTAATAATACAATGTGTTATTAATTTAATTAAATTTCTGCAATTAAAAAACAAATAAATTCCAACCTACCTCAATATTTCGCCGGGCTAGTGTTGCATTTCCCTCCTGTTGGATGGGAATTAGAGGCAAACCTCCGATCTTAGGGTTTTTGGTTATGGAGCGTTTTCGTTCCTTTCCAGCTGGTGGACATATATCATTTTCATGCTGTGGAAACACAAGTTTTTGCTGTTGGAGTATAATTTTACTATGTGGTATACCATGTCATATACTCACTGGACTCCTTTTTCATATATCCACATGTAATGATCTACTTTTCATGAAAGTGCCGATGGAGATGGTACAGCATGTTCAGACTTAAGAATATGTGAAAGGTAGAACCAATAAGGATTCCCGAATGATTGGCTATAGCAGGTGAGAGAAAGAGCAGAAGTCAAAGAAGAATCCTAGTTCTTACTGACCCTGGACAGTGGCAAATGCACATTGTATTGTCTGAGATGTACAAGGAAATTGAGAGTTTTGTTTCGGCCATATGAAGTTTGAGATACCTATTGGCTGTGCTGAGTAATGGGTTGGGTGTGTGGATGTAAAGCTTAGGAAGAAGCATAGGACTGAAAATTAAATTTGGAAAATCAACATTTAGATTGTATTTAAAGCCATAAGATTAGATGAGATGGCCTAGAATGTGTGTATTTGTGTATGTGGTTTTCATATGTGTGTGCGTGTGTGTAAAAGTGTGTATAATTATTATATATGTGTATATATACGTGTGTGTATGTGTATTCCCACCTTGAAAACCCAGTGGAGGTTGATGAGTCAGAATGAGCCACATCCTCCTTCTGTGGAGCAGCTAGTGGGTTTGAACTACCTTCTGGTTAGCAGCTAAATGCTTCACCTACTACAGTTTAACTAGGTTTAAGACTTTGTCAGGCAAATATGATAGAGAGTTACTAAATTCCTTCTCAGCCACTTTTCTTCCGGCTTTATACATTGGAAACACCACAGTTATGTAATATCAAAGTCAGTTTTACCAAGTTTCCAACTGTGACATAAAATACTAATATAAATCTTCAAACTCTTTCTCTAAATGAAATATTGCATAGTCTACCATTGTAACTTTGTTAAACCAAAATAAGTGCTTCACTAAAATGCAAGAGTAGATACAGTGCCCGTACCATAAGTCTAATAATACAGGAACCTGTACTGCAGGATTAAATGATACAATACATGTAAACTGCTGAGCACACTCTGGCAGTATGTCCCTCAATATAAATTAGCTGTTATTATATAATGAGTACACAGTAAATAATTCTTGAAATGAGCTCTTTGCTGTAAAACATCACAATAAAATATTAATGGTGACACGAAATGATAAAGAATCTATTAATATATCTCAAGAATTGAGCAAAATAAAGAGTAGGCTACATATTTACTATTTCTTCAGAGGATCTTTAAACTTCTCATTTTGTAGGTGATATTTTTTTATTTCTTTTATAGATTGCTGTCTTTGTGAAAATCAATTTTTCCTAACTCCTGAAAAGTTAATCTACACCAAAGAATGCACAAATCCTTTAAAGATCTTCCTTTTATATGCATATCTCAAGGATTTATCACACAAGTGTATACTTTTACCCGTGGACCTTTATCCCCATTGCAAAATTAACTTTTCTCTAGTCATATTTATAATTGCTCAGTGGGGCAGAATATGTAGATAGTACTTGGAGGAAAAAATGTGCCACAATCTTTGTTGTACAATGATTTTCAGCGTAAATGTCTGTGTAAAAGGTAACATTTCTTCAGAATTGAATTAGATGAAAACGTAACATTTTCCAAAAGGTTATGAAATAAGGCTAAGTTTTCTAAAAGCCATGCCTGAGGTTGATTTTTGTTATGTAAGATCAAAATTATTTTTCACTAAAATCATCTTAGGAGCTCTGGTAACATAGTGCCTAAGGCACTTGACTACTAACCAGAAGGCTGGCGGTTCAAACCCACCAGCCACTCCTCGGAAGGAAGGTTGGGCAATCTACTTCTGTAGTGATATTGCCTTGGAAACCCAAG